TTATATAAGGATCTATAAAAAAAAAAATAAAATCTTGTAATCGATTTTTTTTTATTTAGCCTAGTAATATTGAAAGTTGATTATTGATACTCTTAGCCAGAGTTCAACAATTATGTTATGTCATATAAATAAGTATCATTGAAAATTGAATTTGTTCACGGTTCTTACGTTTTATAGTTCTAGTTGTGTTGTAATGATTGATGGATGAATAAGAGAATCACGTGGTCCGTCGTACGGTGAAAGGTAAAGGTCGGACATCATCAAATGTAATCGAAAGGGGAAAAGAAAAAAAAAACGAAAGAAAGAAAGAAAGAGCGCATTACACGCCGCGATCATGTTTGTACCTCCTTGATCTTATCCTTCCATTTCTTATCGCGTGCCTTTACTGTACTGACCGAGTATCGGGAAGAACGATGGGAGTTCTCATGCGAACAAAAGTCGGCGAATGGATATAGGGGAAAAAAGCTGTACTGACACGATTCGTAATTCGTCATATTTCGGAAAAGAAAAAAAATGAAAAAAGAAAAAGTGAGAGAAGTATCGAGCGACTATCATGTGTTTCGAAAAAAGAAAAAAAAAACTTATCGTCGCGTGCATAATCACGGGAGAAATATGTATCTGGAGCACAAAAACAAAACCACGCGTAAAAAACGTGGCTAGAGAATCGCATGCTTCACTGTCTGCATCTGCATGTGGCAAGTAGAATAAGTTTTTGAAAGTGTAACAGGACCAATGGGACTTTGAGTTTTTAGCACAAAAAAGAAAGAATAAATCGTAGAATTTAAATTGTTCACCTCGACATATTTTTTTCTGTTAAAAATTTCTGGACACTCTAAGTGGAATGTGATTCTAGATACACACAAGAAAAAGAAAAATGTTATTTAATTTTCATAAGTATTTTTCGTCGATTTTTTCCTAAGAGAGAGTACCATTATTGCTGTTATTACAGTTTAGTTAATGTTTGCACAAATTCCTACGTTGCTTATCATAATATTGATATATTGGACTATCAATATTACCAGTACCGCACTACGATTAATAAATGCATACTACCCTTAATGAATATTCTACTTGGAGTGTCTTAGAACCCATCAGATTCGTCTTCAGCAGATGGACACGGTGGGCAGAGCGGTTTACTCTCAACTGAAACTCGTCCGTGCAACCGCATATACGTAAAGATGTACATTTTTTAGTAGCTTTGTCGGGTCTAAGGCTGCGTTCACAAATGTCACGAGGTGCAAGCGCAACGAGCGTTTCAAAACAAACTATAGTTCGTCCAAAATCAATCAGCTGTTCATCAAAGCCATGGTATAAAACATTTCCTCCCACGTTTCCGATTTTAAAGACAGAAAACGCCAACTCTAAAAAAATACGAACACAACTAAAAAGTAATTAAATAACAATTAAATAAAAATGACTGAGCAACCGTAGATTTTGGACGAATGAAGCGACACAAATCAAAAAAGTCGATTTCCTCTTTGCCAGCTGTCGATACTATTCGGCCGTGTGTTTATCGATCGATCGCAAAATTTTTTCATCCACACGATTGCGTCATTTGCATCGGTGTAACGTGCCATGTGTAAACCCGGCTCATTATCGAACACAATATCAAAAGTTCGTGTGTGTGTGTGTGTGTGCATATGTAGAGAAAGCGAGGGAGGAAAGGTAGGGGGGAGAGAGAGAGAGAGAGAGGGGAGAGAGAGAGAGAGAGAGAGGGGGGAGAGAGAGAGAGGGACAGAGTATGTGTATCGGTTTTTCCTAGATGCGTTATTAAGAGAACACATATCACTTTTCTCCATCGTGTATAATCCACGCGTCTCGCACGCTCGCCCTTTTGTCGCATTTAGACCCGGGCAGAAGAAGAAAAGGGAAAGGCTCATTTTTTTACTAGCTTAAGTGTCTGTGAGAGTGGAAAAGAGAACGAGTGAGAGAGTTTTGTGAAAAGGGACGAGCGTTCGATCGGAAGGAGCCCCTAACGCCGAAGAAGATTTGCCTTCGAATCTATGGGCTCTGCGTGTTTCTACCAAGTAAACAGAACCACCTCTTCTTAATTGAATGAAAATTTTTAATGCAGTTTTCCTATAAAATGAAAGCACTTGTAAAATTCTTCCTCACTGAAAATTTCTTGCATCGCAGAACTATTTCGAGGCTCTTTGTTTTCCTTAGTAATACACAGTGTCCCAAAAGTTTTACTGCGCTGTAAAGTGTACACGCCAAGGTCACGCTGAACAGAGAACGAACAACTACACTCTCTGGTCTGCAGTATATATATTCCAATGCACAGTAACTTTTGGAACACTCGGTATATCTAGTTCAATTTCACACTCAATCTGGTATTTTGACTGGAGGAAAAAAAAAAGATAAGAATTAGAGAAGAAAGCCTTCAAAATATCAGTAGTAATTATTAGAAATTGTAAAGAAAGGAGAATACACGTGCTATTGGTCTGGTCAACGCGAAGTGTTTTGTTTTTCTTCGGGTCTCCGATCACCGACGACGTTGATTTTTTGGCTCTGGTAACCTTGACCCGTTCAACGCCCGTCCCTTGATACGCTTAGACTCTAAGGTAGCATAATGGAACCCCGTAACGCGTACCTTAAGCACACCCTGAAGCCTAGTGTACCAGTCGCAGCAGAGAAACGCACGATCGGTTCCTGGAACGTCCTCTATCATCTGCGAATCAATTAATCAAATAATTAAACAAACCCATTTGGAAACGATACGTCAATAATAATAATAATAAACGTATTATTTTAATATCAATTATCATGGAAATAATAAGAAGAAAGAAACGTTCGTTGTTGTGCGCATGTTCGAGGAACCGGTCACGAAACAGTACCAAAAGTAATTGTTCCAACGTATGACTTCGCGCGAAGTTGCTTTTAGACGTAAACGATGACGTAAGCCCGTATATAATTTGTACATAGGGAGGAAACATGTATCCGTTTATACACACTGTACACTGGACACGCAAAAAGCAAAAGAAAAAAAAAATGTGAAGAAAACATACGTTGCTTCGATTCTCAATTATATACTCTTAGGGATGAAGAAGAAAAAAAAAGAAGATTGAAAGATGGTTGGCTCGCGTAATATTGAACTTGCACGTTAACTCGGTTGTTGCGTCGTTGTTACTTAGGCCAGCTGCGCGTTCAACTGATTTATGCATATCGAAGGCTGTCGTTGAAGTATTCATCTTCTGAAAGCCGGACGCAGCGGTGTGAAAGCCCTCAGTAAAGTAACGACGATCGATTTTAGCCTCTGCTTCTTTCCCTTTCTTTCGAGCGTTTCGCTGTATACCGTTGAAAACAAATTGCTATTTCTTCTATTTGTTTCGTTCGTCTTTGTTTCACAAAATCCCTGACACGATGTGGCCTGGATCTTTTTCAAATTAATAAATAATATAAATTTTCCAAATTAACACAAGTGAAGTAATTAAGAAATATTTCGACATGATTCGCCGCCACAATGGTAAAATTCGCATTATTTAAAAATATCGCACTGAATACACAGTAGTTTTCGCACAGTTGGCCCAACAGTGTTTCGTAAATTGAAGAAGTTTAACCAGAAGTCGCTCGTTTGATTCAAACCGAAATATTCTCATATTCAGTGATGCTAACAT